CTCTCTCTGGCAAGTTTTCCTGTTCCGGACTAAAATAGATCGAGCGTGTGAGATACTCGAGCGTGAAATTCGAGCGCATGCAAAACTTGTTGAACACTATGTACTCGGCCGGGTGGTATGCCTAGTACCTGTATGAGCGAAAATACTAAAAATAATAAAAGAATGCAGTTTTTATTTTATATTTTTTTATTTCATTTTGGGTGGTTGTTATGTGCAATATTTGTTGTGTTTCCTACTTCATTAATTAATTAATTATTGTTTTTATCTTGCAATGTTAGAAATAATTAAATAATTATAAATAATTTTAAATAATTCAATAATAATAATAATAATAATAATATTAATAATAATAATAATAATAATAATAATAATAATAATAATAATAATAATAATAATAATAATAATTCTTATATATTTTCTTGGTGTAACTTTGTATACATAGGCCTATGTATTCTTCATTTTTGTTTTTGTAAATACACTTATTTCAGCTCTTGGCTTCCGTTTGTATATTTTTATATTATACCTGAATAAATAAAAATAAATAATAATATGAATTATTTATTTTTTAAAATTTTATTCAGGTATAAAAAACATTACAAAAATCAGAAAAAGTCTGAAATTATTGTATTACAGAATATAAAAATTCATAGAATGAGAAATATAAAAAAACATACACAAATATTGTATTAAAAATATTAACATACAAATGACAAAAAGGACTTCGCCCAATCCACATGGGCGGATCCAGAATTTTTCAAATGGATAAAAGTCGGTCGCACATAACATTGATTTGCATTGACATTTAGTGGCATAAAAATTTAGTGGCAAAACGGAGGAACGTGCCCCCCCCCCCCGTTCCCCTACTGGATCCGCCCCTGATCGATCCACCTCAAAGAGTACGCTTATTTCACTATAAAAATGTATTGATAAATATCATTTAAATATGAAACAAACATCATAATAATTTACATAGGCCTATATGTCAACATCATATCATTTAAAATTAAATCATTCAAGGCATAGCATCAATTCATGGCAGCAGTTTATATATTTCTGCGTATTATATGACTAAATTTACTTAATCTGAATGCAGAAGTGTCGTTACGATCGAACGAGTGTATAAATAATTAAAACAAATTAAAAAAAAGGAAAGTAAATATAATAAGCCAAGTAAAACATGAAGTAGTAGCTCTAAGTTTATACGAAGCACATCTTTGTACCTTGTTTGTATAGTTATATGATGATGATGATTATTATTATTCTGTCTTCATGATGATGATGATCATGATGATGATGATAATAATAATAATAATAATAATAATAATAATAATAATAATAATAATAATAATAATAATAATAATAATAATAATAATAATAAGGATACCTTTAATAATAATATTATGAAATGATTAAAACACAATTGACTTGCAATCTATCTGTTGCCACAAACAATGAAGTCCGTATTTTTCATTTGCGTAGACTTCCAAGGGATTATGAACTTTGACAAAAAACGCCTGGCCTGACTAAAAGCGTAATATCTAGTGCGCCCTCTGCATTGTATGCATGGTTTCTGGACAAAACGGCAAAAAACCAAAACGGCAATGACCAAAACGGCAATAAACCAAAACGGCAATGATAAGTACCAAAACGGCAACAGACCAAAACGGCAATGTCAACTACCGTACCAACACGGCAATAGGCATAGACCAAAACGGCAAAGGAGCAAATCAATGCCAAGACTGAACCGCCACCGGTTTTTTTTAATTACATATCAATGACGAATTATTTCGTTATTTTAAAGTCTTATTTATTATTATTATTATTATTATTCTTTCTCGTTTTTTACTTTCATGACATTATTCTTATTATTATTAATTTTTTTTTCTTTCGCGCTTTTTAACTTTTATGACATAAACGGTTTAGCCTCATTTTGTCTGTATTTTAAAGTTTTATTATTTAAATGTTTACTGCTTTTATATTGTGATTTCCCCAATCTTTTTACTATTGAATTTGTATGTTATACTATTATTATTATTATTTTTATTATTATTATTATTATTAGTGTTGTTCTTCTTTGGCGTTTATTATTTCTACGACAATTTAGCCTCATTTTCACCGTATTTATCGTTGTACACTTCCATGTTTATAATTGGTTTTATGTAGTGCCACATTGGAATTAAGTTTTACTTCTTAAAGAAAACTTTCATAGACCATCCTTGCATCATCTTTTATTGCAATATTTTTTGTCCTGCCTTGTGCGATAAAGGTGATAAACAGTTTCATTTGACTCAATTCTTGCTTATGTTAACCACATGCTTACCTAAGATTATACTGACACTAGTTTCAAATCACGGTCAAGTAGTTAAAAATCACCTAAAATCACCTTATTTTGCGAATTAG